GTTTCAGCAGTGATGATGCCACTGAATGTGAAGAGAGATTGTCTTTGCCTGGCAGTTGTTCAATGTGAATGTTACTTGCTGCTTATCAGCCCAAGAGTGAATAAGACATGGTTGTTTCAGTATCCCCACTTCTGTCCTTTAAATGAAATAAGGGTCATTGAAGCAGTTGAAGGTGGTTAAGTGACTTGGACACTACCTTGATGAACTCCTGTAGTGATGTCTGGGGACAGAGATGATTGACCTCCAATAGCCATTCTACTCATTTATGATAGGTATGACTCCAACGAGTCACTCAAACTCAGTCAAATGTGGCCTTGATGTCAAAGGCAGTCAGTCTTATTACCTTTGATATTCACCTCTTCAGTCTTGGTTGCTCCAAGGCTGTAATGAGGTCAGGAGCTGAGTGATCCTGATTCAAGTCAAACTGAGCACTAGTAAGCTAGTTATTGCTGAGAATGTGCTGCTCAATAACACTCTTGGCAACCCCTTTCATAACTTATGCTGATGATCAAAATTAGAATGGTCGGGCTGTGTTTGGCTTGGATTTTGCTTGCTGCCTGTGGGCATGTTGTTGGATAGATATCTGTATTGTAGATATACTTTAGAACAGCTTGGCTTGGGGCTGGCTCGTTCCGGAGCACAAGACTCCAGTTCTATTACTCGAATGTTGTCAGAGTTCACAGTAATTGATATTGTGTGGAGTGAATCAAATTTCTTTGAAGATTGGATTTTGTGATGCTGCAGACCTTAGGAGAAGATCTAGATTGGTCACCCAGTTAGCTCTTGTGACTGAAGATGGTTGCCATACTTCAGCCTTATGTTTTGTTCTGATGTGCTGGGTTCTTCCATCCTTGAGTACAGTTTTGCAAAGCTTCCTTTTCATGTAAATTGTTTAGTTGTCAAGTACTATTCACAGATGCATTGGGACTGTATATCTTAGAAATGACCTTTTGGGTGTGGGGCACCTAGCTCTGTCTGTTGCTTGTTGCTTGTTGTATCCTGAAAATGAAGATGGTGTTTTGTTTCCATAAGGACAGTGATGTGTAATATGCCAATATTATCATGGACAGATACATTTTTGACAGATAGATTGGTGAGGACAAGGCTTTTCCCGTTATTTGGTTTCCTCACCAACATTTGCATTACGCTGAAATTAGTCAGAGACAGTGAGCACAAAGTCTGACCCATCATCAATAAAAATAGAAGTTGCTGGAAAAAGGTTTTCTGAAATTCTAAATTAGTTTCAGACTTAGCACTGCTGACTAATTTTATTTAAGTATTTCTTGGTTTGCCTCTAGTTTAAACAACTATTTACTTCATGAACATGCATCTTTTAAAAGGGACAAAGTGCTAGGCAATACAGCTGTCTGTGAG